ATTTTGATCAAGGCATCTTCTTCTACCTCAAGCTGATCCAGCTGCCGCAAATACTCCAGGTAGGCGCCCCATCGCAAGCCAATTCTCCAATCCGATCCAAAGCTAATGAAATGCGGCTTGAATTTTCCGATTCATCAGTTGAAACCCAATCTGAGAAATCGAAAGGACATCTCGGGGATTCCGAGAATTCTTCGAAACAACATTGTGAAGACGTTGAAGGAAATGAAACAGCTTTTTCATCGTCGGCGGCCATGAAAGGATGGTTCAGGAGCATCTCAGTCGTCCATCTTGCTTGGATCCCTAGAAAACACTTTCCCAGAAAATCTTTTCCTTCGTCGGATAACTCCCCGGGAATCCCTGGCAATTCATCGCCGAGCCCGATTTTAATCAACAAATCTGCCATGTTCGACCCTGGTTTCAAATTCCAAGCTGTTTTTCGGTAAACATCTCGACAACGACGCAGCCGAGGGCCCAAATATCCACCGGAAATCATAACGTTTCCATTGACGGACTCCGGCGCCATGTTCAAAGGCGTTCCCCTGATTTCGAACTTCCCCTGTTTCTCACCGTTTCTCTTCGCCAATCCAAATCAGCCAACTTGACGCCACCGTTACCGAAAAAAACATTTTGAAGCTTAACATCGCAATGAACAAACCCTTTGGAATGAACAAAGTTTAGCCCACTGAGTATCGATTTAGCGAATCTTTTAACATCGGATTCCGTCAATCTCCCGCCGTTTCGCTTAACGTGATCGGCCAAGCTCCCTTTATCCGCATACTCCAAGAACAAATTGAAACTTGTCAGAATTCTCGTCCCCGAAACAACGGATGATTCCCGGGGAAGAGCCGAGTTGATCCAGCACTCGTTTCTCGTGCCTGAGTGAAGCCGAGTTATGAGTTTGGCAACGCTTGACGACCATTAATGGAGATTTCGAAAACCCTGTTTTTGGTAACACCAAATTCACAGCGCCGAAACTCCCATGTCCAATCATTTCTCCTGGAACCCACTCCATGGATTCACCTCAACAAATCTGGTTTTCTTTTTGAAGAAATCGAAGCCTTTTTAGTGATTTGATTCTTTGAGAAAAAGAGAGTGCAAACAGAGGTGACAGAATTATGGTGGCGCTAAGTGCTTATATATATAAATGTGGGATTTTTTTTACTTGGTGGGCGTTCAACTAGTGTACGCTAAGAAAGATCCTATATTAGCACGTGATAGTCAAGGTTATTTTTTTAATTATTTTTTTCCAAATTTCGGATATAAAATATAACAACTTCAGACAACCAGTTTTGAAACGTGGTCCATATGGCCGATCCATAAGATTTTCACTCGATGGCACGTGGAGTAGATATTAATATTTTTTAATAATATCTACAATCAATTTGATTTAATTCCATTTTTCCTTTATTTTCCCTACTTTGCACTTGGGATCTTTCATGAGTTGTTGTCATGAGTTGTCCTTTAAATCACTCTTAATTAGCTACTTGACAACAAATATCATACAATAACATGGTATATTCATACTTGTTTAAATATTCCATTGATTATCATATATGATTTATTAATTACTAACATATTTGATGGATGTATAATTAATTTCTTACTTATGGAATATCTTTCTTAATAAGATTTGATTATTTGTTGGATTTAAAATGATATTTGAAGCATAAGTGCTAATCTAATTTATTTGAAGGAAAAACAATTATTTAAATTATATGAGAGCGTGTGATACTTTAAAAACCCTACATGAATTATTTAAATACAATATAAAATTAAGAACAAAAAAGAAAAAAATATTAATTTACAAATATCACAATGTAAATTAGTAGCAACAACAAATGTCGTATACTTAATATCTTAAAATTTATTAATATATAATTAGAAAACATGATGATAATAAAATAAAATATGATCATCCGAGTTTTTTTTTAAGTTAACATGATTATAAAATATATTTGATTTAATTATTTTTAATTATTTGATATGAACATTTAATTACTTTTGCAATTGTTTGTGTTTTGAATTTGAATCATTGATCTCTGTAAATAACAACGATTCTTTTAATTATTTAGATAATTTAATTCTTAAACAAATTAAAAAAATATTTATTACAATCATGTAAAAACCAAGAAATGTGAATCGCTGTCAAAACATGAATTTTCGTAGGAGAAAAAGAAGAAAAATGGCAATGAGAGAGCGGTTGTCGGTTTAGAAAAGAAGAAAAATGGCAATGAGAGAGCAGTTGTCGGTTATTAGATAAGGCGAAGACGCACGTCAGCCAAAGATAGACGGAACCGTCGCTGGAAGACGACGACGTGACTGAGTTGTAGGGACGGTAAAAGTGCAGCATGCAATGCCCAAGTGGAGTTTGGTCAAACAATATATAAAGAAATATAGGTTGTTTCTAGTGGGGGCTGCCGCCTAAGCCTGACCCCTATGAGCTCATGCAAGTGCAGCCCTCAAACTCAAAAAGGTTCATGGAATCTTGACCACCCATAGCCACACAAAAAATATTAAATGGATCCGTTCATTCATATTCTTGATATCAATTAATAATATTTTTATCTTATTTTTACGGTAAATATTCGTCTCTTTCTTACGTGTCAATAAGGAGATAATAGATATTTGGAAATTATTTTAAAATTAAAGAACATGATTCATTGATATCATAAATGACGTGATGAATCGGATCCATGAATTAATTTGTCCATGGCCGCAGCCGAGCCTCCCTCTTCGATAGACCTTCAAGTGGTGCACTTTGAGGTTGAAACCTCCAGAGTTGAATTCCAAATCTACCGAAAGTGCTATATTAGTGCTGTAAAAGGCCACCATTTGACAAGTGCATTCAAAGTTGAAACTTCTTAAACAAATGACGGTTGACAAGTTCGCAATGTTAATGGATGAAATGCTAAGATTCATCATCATCTCTAAACAATTTAACCTTAGTTTAATTATACCCCAGAGCAATTAAGAATTTTTACAACCGGGGGATCCGACACAATGTTTTCAAATCGTAATGAGGTTCAGCCCATGATCGCTTATATTCCTTCGCTTGGACTGTGGCACCATGAAACCCGATATGGAAATATGATTTAAATAAATCAAAAGGTAAAATAAGCTTTAGTACCAAAATTATAAGTTTTGGTTTAATTTAGGACTTAAATTTTTAATTTTTTAAAATCATAACATTTAGTTTTTGTTTCATTTTGGTACCCATTAAAAACTTAACGCGTTTAGTACTTAAACTATCAGTTTTGACCCGTTTTAGTAACTAAATTTCCAATTTTTTTCGAAACTTTACCTTAAATTGAAAGTTTAGATACTAAAGGAACAAAACTGATAATTTATGTATGGTTTTAAAAAAAATGAAAGTTTTTGTATTAAAATGGACCAAAACCAATAGTTTAGATACTAAACGCTAATTTACCTTAAATCAAATCATAGAATTTTTAATATTAGAAATTTTGTCATTATTGAAAGACATGTAAAGTTTGTAGGGTTAAATTGTAAATTTAAGAAATTCGAACCATTTCTACGAGTTTCAAAATGTTCAAGGGCCAAATTTCTTATTAATTTTTTTATTTATATAGAATGATTACAAATTAGCATGTGTTCAAAGTCTTTTAATTATTTAATAATAAACACTTAAACACTTGTATTGACATTATACTAACTTAATACTTCCAAAATAATAATTATCCCTTTAATTTTTTATGTGCTTGATTTGGGTCACTCTTATTCAATTTTAAGAAGAAAAGGAGGTGAGGGGATGAAATCGACCCAATACCGCACTTAAAAGATAAATTAGAACTCTAAGGTACATGGACTTTTAATTTGAGATCTATTGTTATATTGTTTAACGAACTCGTTATTTTAATGTGATGATTTTCAATAAAATATAATTTTTTTATTAATTTTTATCATATCAAAGGTAAAAAATTGAAATATATATATATATTCTTGCACTATAATAATACTGTAGATATCAAATTAAAAGTCAAACTGCCCTAGTTCCTTAATTTTTTTTCTGGGCTGCCGTAACAGGCCAAAATTGCCTATTTAGGTGACTAAGTAAGTGGTCTCGGACATGTGCCTTTGGCATGTACACAGCCGGTCTGACTTGCCACTGCGCTAGTAGAACTTAAACCTTTCTAAATTTGAATTAAAACCAAACCAATTTAATCACTAAATTTTATATATTAAATATTTTGGTTTTCTCATTAAAAAGGTAACTACGTGATTTATTTTGATATTATAACCTATCACCACCACCAATGTTTAAATTTTGACGATTACAAATGGAGTAAATTGGATTGGAAGGATCACCCTTATTTCTGTAGTACTCGATCGAGATTATGTAGCAAAATTGAGAAAATTTCGATGAAATAGTTCAACTTTAAAATTGGCTTACTTTTATCAATATATAAATTTTTTTTTATCTATAATCTAAAATTAAATATTCAGAAGATATGATATCGTTTATAATTATTTAAACTAATTTTTATTCAAATAATTAAATATTTTTAATCAATGTAAATTTTTTACACCGAATCAATATAATAAAAGTCGCAAACTCTAACATGTCTTAGGTAGTTCATATCTTATTGTAATCTCTAAATGAGGATTGATTCGAATAAAATCAAATTTAAATGATAAGATTAAAAAGCTAAATAATATTATGTGAATGTAAATATATGAATTATTGATGCTTTGATAGAAGTTGCCAATAAAAGTTTGATTTAATGATAAAACTAAATTTTTAAATTTCAAGATATCAAATTTAAATTTATGTAATTTCTTATAGTTTTTAAATTTCAAGGTATCGAAGAGTTCATGAGGATGATGAAGAGAACTTGTTACGGCGGGTATTAGAGGTTCGTCGTACGGCTGGAGGGAGCGTTCTATAGCTGCAGCTGTGGCATCTTGTATAAATAAACTAAAAAACATGTGCGTAGGATTGAATATACTTGGTCATGACTTTTAAACATGTACTTTCAAAAATGCTTAACTTGGCTGCTTCAAAAGGAATCTTTGATTTTCACCTAAAATGCAAGAAGATCGGGTTTTCACATCTTTCATTTACTGATGACTTGTTGATTTTCTACAAAGAAAATTTTGATTTGGTTGCAGATGTTTTAACTATTCTTGATCAATTCTATGAATTTTCAGGGCTTAAGCTTAATTCTTCCAAATGTGAGTTTTTCACGACGGGTATCTCTTCTAGGGACTTGGAGGATATTAAATTTCTTTCAGGGTTCAAATCTGGTTCTCTTCCGGTTAGGTACCTCGGTATTCCTTTAATTACTCGCAAACTCACAATGAAGGATTGTGATCCTCTACTTGAGAAAATAAAACTGCGATTGCATCACTGGTATGCTCGGCAACTTAGTTACGCTGGCAGACTGGAATTAATTCGCTCGGTTCTGTTCAACATCAATAATTTCTGGTGCAGGCAACTTGTCCTTCTAGCCTCTATTTTAAAAGCAGTCGATCAACTATGCGCAAGGTTCTTCTGGAAAGGTGAAGATAAAACTGTAGTAGGAGCTCGGGTAAGCTAAGATAGTGTCTCATAGGGATGGCAGTATGACCCGAACCCGATGCGGAAACCTGAAACCCGACCAAGTTCGGGTTGGGTATCGGGGATTTTTTCGGGTCGGGTTCGGGGCAAGGTATCCCCGCCCTGCCCCGATTATATATATATATATATATATAATATTTTATATTTTTTATATTAATTTTATATATAATATTTTCGGGTTCGGGTTCGGGTTTGGGTATAATATTTCAGGTCGGGTTCGGGGATTCATTTCGGGTTCGGGGACGGGGCGAGCAAAACCCGCCCCGAACCCGACCCGTTGCCATTCCTAGTGCCTCACCAAATCAGAAGGTGATTTAGGTCTGATTAACACATCTATTTGGAACCGAGCATGCACTATAAGCCTCATAAAAAAGGTTCTTGCTGGTAATGGTTTTGTGGGGTTGCATGGGTTCACAATTACGTTCTTAAAGGCAGATTCTGGCATTTCGAGGCTGCAACAAACATTAGTTGGGGCCTCAAAAGAATCTTAAAACTTAGACCTACTGCTTTTCCTTTAATTGCTTCTGGTTTCATGCGAACTAAGAAATCTGTGAGAACATTCGGATGCAAGTGCAGAAGGTTATGTGGCAACGTCTAATATGGTATCCTATGCATATTCCTAAGCATAGCTTGATTGCTTGGATGGCCATTTTGAATAGATTACCTACCAGAGATCATTTACAAAAAATGTGAATTTGCACAGATGGTCTGTGTTTAAACTGTAACACTCATCAAGAAACCAGAGATCATCTTTTCTATAATTGCTCCTTGGCTGCTGGTATATAGAAATCAATTCTTATCAAGAATGGAATGAACTATTCTACTTTGACTTGCGATGATATTGTAACTCGTGCTTGTTCCTCTTAGAAAGGAAAGTCCCTCTTAACCACCATTTTGAAGATTTCTTGGAATACTTTCATCTACTTTGTGTGGCAAGAACGGAACCAGAGATTATTTCAAGATTGTTTCCGTTCTACTGACGTTATTCTTAAAGAAATTGTTGACGTGGTTGCAATTCGTCTTAGGGGCAAGACCATAAATCGACTAGATAGTATTAACTTATTTCTTTGTAATGCTTGGGGTATAGTCTAGCCAATCATTGGTTGTGTAATTAGACTGTTTTTGTTTTGTTGATTGGTTGTAGCTAAACCTTGCTATTTTGGGTAATAAAAATCTGAATTATCCAAAAAAAAATTTTTTTATAGAAATGGATTGAATTGATCAATGTATCTTTGTTCGTCTTGATCTTTATCATTTGAGGTCATGTCATGCCTACGATGATATCATATTTTATTCGGTAAAGTATGCATTTAGTACTTAAAAATTTAGTTTTGAACCGTTTTACACTTAAATTTTCAGTTTTTTTAAAATGATACCTAATGTTTAGTTTTTATTTTATTGTAGTACCTCACCATTAAAAACTTAACGTGTTTAGTACTTAAACTATCGGTTTTGGCCTGTTTTAGCACCTAAATTTTCTTTTTTTTCCTTTAAAACTTAACATTAAATTTTGAATAGAGGTACCAAAATGAAACAAAAACTTTTAACGGCAAATACTAAAATGAAATAAAAAATTAACTTTAGATATGATTCTAAAAAACATTAAAAATTTAGATACTAAAATAGGCCAAATTTAATAATTTAAGTACTAAATACATAATTTACCCTATTTTATTTATTCACATATAGTGATTGGTGGTAATGAAATATATTTGACACGACGACATGATTTATTCAGTGATTGCAGTGAAAATAGTTACTATAATTAGGCTCAATTACCAAAATAAAAAGAGAGGTCTCTAATATATATATATAAACAGAGAATATAAGTTTGGTAGCTGATTATTCCATGTCTCGGAAAGTGGTGACAATTTATAGTTTGAATAAACATAAATTGTGGTTAATTCTATTATATTATATTATTTAACCGGAAATATTATAAAGTACAATAACATACTAGGTAGCGCTTATATAATGTAATAGGTAGCATTTATATAATGTAATAGGTAGTGCTTATATAATAAATATCGTAACGTAAAAAATAAATCATTAGACGCCTATAATTACTAAATTAATATCTTAAAACTCACTCAAAGGATAACCTTAAATTAATGTTGTCCACAGTGAAAAAAGTATGGACACTTTTAAAAAAAGGATAGATACTTTACAATATAACCACTACCTATTACATTATATAAACGATACCTATTACATATAAGCGCTACCTATTACATCATATTTTACATATTATATTGAAAGTGTTCATACTTTTTATAAAAAGGATCGATACTTCTTTTAAAGTTATGTAATTTATGTTTCAATTTTTTTAATAGTGTTTCATGTTTTCCACATACATATTAATTTAATAATTTCATTTGCACAAAAAATTATTTGATTGTTTTGATATTTTATAAAATAATATTTAGAATTTTTAATTTAATAATATATATCGTAACGTAAAAATAAATCATTAGACGCCTATAATTACTAAATTAATATCTTAAAACTCACTCAAAAGATAACCTTAAATTAATGTTTTCCACAATGAAAAAAGTATGGACACTTTTATAAAAAGGATAGATACTTTACAATACAACCACTACCTATTACATTATATAAACGATACCTATTACATTATATAAGCGCTACCTATTACATCATATTTTTACCTATTATATTGAAAGTGTCCATACTTTTTATAAAAGGATCGATGCTTCTTTTAAAGTTATGTAATTCATGTTTCAATTTTTTTTAATAGTGTTCATGTTTTCCACCTACAATATTAATTTAATAATTTCATTTGCACAAAAAATTATTTGATTGTTTGATATTTTATAAAATAATATTTAGAATTTTTAATTTAATAATAATATATATCGTAACGTAAAAATAAATCATTAGACGCCTATAATTACTAAATTAATATCTTAAAACTCACTCAAAAGATAACCTTAAATTAATGTTTTCCACAATGAAAAGTATGGACACTTTTATAAAATGGATATATATTTACAATATAACCACTACCTATTACATTATATAAACATACCTATTACATTATATAAGCGCTACCTATTACATCATATTTTTCCTATTATATTGAAAGTGTCCATACTTTTTATAAAAAGATCGATACTTCTTTTAAATTATGTAATTTATGTTCAATTTTTTTAACAGTGTTCCAGTTTTCCACCTACAATATTAATTTAATAATTTCATTTGCACAAAAATTATTTGATTGTTTTGATATTTTAAAATAATATTTAGAATTTAAATTTAACAACATTAACCAAAGATAATAATAAATATGTAATATATGTTTATTGTTTTTAATTTAATAATAATATATAACTCAAACACATTCCAAGCTATAAATTACAAGCTAAGAACACATGAAGAAGCAAGAACAACTATCCAAGCATCAAAAACGAGAAAATCCCAACATGATAACAACTGAACATATCATATCAATGTTCAAACTCAAGTTGTAGATTTTGATTTCCTTTTGCTTGACATCATATGAGATTTGGATTTTGATTTCCTTTTGCTTGGCACCATATGAGCTTTGGATTTTGATGAGCATCGGAAGTATTTCGGACTTATGATTTGGGTGGTACTCAGAAGCATTTGTTACATTTCTTGGATACCACCCAGATCATATGCCCGAAACATTTCTGACGCTTTAAAGTTGACCAAAAAATACAATGGTCGGGATTTCCCTCGCGTTTAAACGTTGGAAAAAAAACAATGGAAATTAGGAATAATCAATGATAACATGCATATTGGCTTGGACTAATATTTATAGCGGAGCCGAAATATATATTGAAATTCAAACTCAAATTGAAATTTAAATTCAAACTCCAATTACATATGAAATGAATTTGAAATGCAGTGTTAAATTGAACATGAAAATTGCATAGTTGATTCATACTGTTCAAGTAACATGCTTTATGAACCATCAAGCTAAAAGACAATATTGATTGAGTTCAAAGCTGAGTTGTGAGTTGATGGAGTTGTCACACTTGTCAGATGGTTGGAATAAAGGTACTCGCATGGAAGAGATAGATTGTTTTGTTATATAACCCATCTCAACTGAATGAAATATACATACAATATAATCAAACCAAACATACATACACAACAAATTATATATAACAATGTTCAAATAATGTACCCACAAAAACGAAATTAATCCAATGAAAAGAGTTATTTCTAACAAAGTCCGAACATTATTTTTCCAATAATGTACCCATAACAATGTTCAAATAATGTACCCACAACAATGTTTAATTGATTTGTTGTTTAATTTTCAATTTGAATTATTTGATTTAATAATTTCATTTGCACAAAAAATTATTTGATTGTTTTGATATTTTATAAAATAATATTTAGAATTTTTAATTTAATAATAATATATATCGTAACGTAAAAAATAAATCATTATACGCCTATAATTACTAAATTAATATCTTAAAACTCACTCAAAGATAACCTTAAATTAATGTTTTCCACAGTGAAAAAGTATGGACACTTTTATAAAAAGGATAGATACTTTACAATATAACCACTACCTATTACATTATATAAACGATACATATTACATTATATAAACGCTACCTATTACATCATATTTTTACCTATTATATTGAAAGTGTCCATACTTTTTATAAAAAGGATCGATACTTTTTTTAAAAGTTATGTAATTTATGTTTCAATTTTTTTAACAGTGTTTCATGTTTCCACCTACAATATTAATTTAATGATTTCATTTACACAAAAAATTATTTGATTGTTTTGATATTTTATAAAATAATATTTAGAATTTAAATTTAACAACATTAACCAAAGATAATAATAAATATGTAATATATATGTTTATTGTTTTTAATTTAATAATAATATATACCGTAACGTAAAAAATAAATCATTAGACGCCTATAATTACTAAATTAATATCTTAAAACTCACTCAAAAGATGTATATACCTAAATATGTATCGACACTTTTTTAAATCGTATCGACAAATTTTTTTTCCAATCTGGACATAAAGTACCGACACAATATTAAAAAGTGTCGATATAGGTTGTAGACCGATTCGCGCATAAAACTGGTATATTTATACCGGTTATATTACAAAATTATCTATTACATTATAATTATGGGTTCCGATGTGTAAATGTCGACACTTTTTGACAATGTATCGACACATTTTTCTTCCAATCTGGACATAAAGTACCGACACAATATTAAAAAGTGTCGATATAGGTTGTAGACCTATTCGCGAATAAAATCGGTATATTTATACCGATAGCATTGCAAATTTACCTATTTTATTATAATATGTTGAAAGTGTCCATACTTTTTATAAAAAGGATCGATACTTTTTTTAAAGATATGTAATTTATGTTTCAATTTTTTTTAAGTATGTTTCATGTTTTCCACCTACAATATTAATTTAATAATTTCATTTGCACAAAAAATTATTTGATTG